GTACACGTGTCTCCCATCGGAGAATTAACAGCCGACTTTGTCAACATTCGCATTAATTCTCCTCCTTCCGCTTTCTTAATTAAAAAAAAAGGCACACTGCCAAATAATTTGATCATAAAAATAAACTATTTATAAAAATATTAGAGTAAGAAAGGCGGGAGGAAATTGCAAGGTGGTGTCACGCGGAAATTAAGTGTGTTAAAGCGAAGACATGCGACGAATATATTAATTGAAATTATGCACTTTCCGGTTTTGTGTATAACGAACAATGTAGTTTCTAATTAGCATTGGTGATTGCTTATTCTCGTGCAAATTTCACTTGAGAGACTTTCACCAAGATAAAATATCGTTTAAATCAAAATAATTCAATCGTAAAGCTGTGCGAATCGTCGTCTTCCGGAAAGAACTTAAACTCCGGCTGTTTGAATTTCAAGTTTAATTTATATTACCACGTAGCGGACAAATGCTCGCAACGATGTAGATGTAGTGGCAAAGTTTTAACAGATAAGACTTTAAAGAAGAAAGCATGAACATGATTGAGTGATGCAATGCGTGAATTCGTTTGAAAAGTTTCCGAATAAGAAGATATGAAGTAGCCGAAACTTTTAAAATCTTCGCTAGACGGAATTGGATTGGATGAAGCGAAGTCGAGGAATGATGTAATTTTGAGGCCAATTCATCCAAGGTAAATACTTTATGTTTTTGGCACATGCTTTCAGCTGTTTAGATGGCACTTGGTTTATCTAATGAAAAAATTATTATTGTTGTTTTTATGTGTGTCTCTTATTTTGCCATGTTAAAAAATCAGTTATTTTTCTAAATAATGCAATGTTGGTTTTATAAATAGTGCAAAGCTTTGAAAATTTTGCGTTTAGCATGGTTATTGGAAAGATAAAACAACAAAAATTTTATAACTTCGTCGTACAATCTCCGCGTAGAAATATTTTTTATTGAAAATTTTTTACACGATACTTTATTATATATAAACACAGCGTTGGTCTAATATATACTAAAACGTATGCAGTTTTATGGAATCTATTGCATAATTGTATTGAGGCAAATGTGATTTTCCTTATGATAAATCATAACATCACGAAGAATTTTCAACAGACGAATTCAAGGCTATTTTAAAGCTGCATGTTATATGTGAGAATTTTATCTAAAAATGAATACATTAC